TTCTTTACAGAGTATGTGATAAGACTTATGTGAATGTTTACTTTACTCCAGTTAAAAGCCTACGATTACAGTAATTACGGCCATAAAACCGGATAAAACATGATCATAATGTTACACAAGCGCTTTGTTTACAAGAGCTGCGCGTCTACCTCCCAATCCCAGGCCGCCATGCAGGCAGGAATAAAACACACGGGCTCTGTGACACTGCCAACACTCAGCTCGGTGGTGCGAGGGAGGCTGTAGTACTCCTCAAACGTCCTATTTAAAATTCACCGCAACCTCTGCTGTCAAATCTCTCTTGACACCAGTCGAGCTCTCGCCCGTCCCGGACGCGACAGCGCACACCTCCTGACACACCTATGGATTCGGCCAATCGGCGCAGGCTTTTCGACGGAAAGCCACGCCCACCGATTTAAGGTCGCATTGCTGGGCAACAGATCTCATTGAGCCTATGATGACGATGGTATTATTTCATGCGCCTGAATAATATCTTGCCATATTACTTAATATAATTAATTATAAAATAATTCATATCACGTATGTTGTCTTAGCAATCAAAGTCTGTTTAGTTACGCTAAAGAGGGTTTACCTTTAGCGACCTATTCATTTTTTTCAAGTTAATACAATGTCACAATAACACACCTCTGCTGCCACCTACTGGTGATATTCAAAAATGAATCAATGATATCGTGTGTAAATTTGAAGATATTTTCTACCCTAGGGGGTTTCAGTCTTTAATATGCCACTTGAACTGAAAAGAAAAAAAGACCTCGAACACTAGCTTGCTCTATTTTTTTTCTATTCTATCTGTTTTCTTTTTTATTTATTATATAATAAAAAAAAACCTTGCTACGTGTACTGCGTTAAGCTAACTGACACTTGTTATAGCACTTGCAAATCATTGCTCTTTTGTTGATTTTGATTGCTTTCATTGTCCTCATTTGTAAGTCGCTTTGGATAAAAGCGTCTGCTAAATGACTAAATGTAAATGTAATGTAATGTAAATGTAAACATTTCGCGTCGGCATTAGGTCTATTTCTGAATGAAGAACTAAAATGCGACTTGTATGTGACTTATGTTTGTTTTTTATGTACGCAATTTTTTATAAGCGTAGCGCCTATTTTAATCATGCAGTAGGGCTGGGCAATATGAGCAAATATCTCTATATTTTTTGGACGATTTGCAATATACGGTATATATCTCGGTATTTTTGTTTTTGCATTTTAAAAAAAATCTGTATTTAATATATATATTTCACTTACTGCCCAATGTTGTCCAACAAAACAATACATATTAAAGGCTATGAAAACAAATAAAGTGAATGTAACCATGTAAGCCTTTATACCATGTGCAAAAAAGGGTTAAAATCACATTTCATTCTAGCATTGTAACATTGCAATCTAAAAACAAAAATAAGGCTTTTAAAGCGGAAGTTAAATTCACTAAACTAAAAATGAAAATAAATGAGAACAAAAGCACAGAGTTGTGTTAGGCTATTTTGATTACCCCATTACGGTCTCTTTACAGTCAGTGCTATCATACAAATAGACTTACTCGTAGGTTTAAAATTCTACATGTCACATTTATTGTCCCCACTACAAATATTTCAGCTAAATGTATATTTTAGTCAGAATTATTGTGCTCGTTCACTGAAGTCTGTGTGAAGTTTAGCGGATTAAACAGCGCGAGAAGCCTAGCTTCTCTGTCAGCGGCACACACAGCCTTTTCTGTCAGAGCATCTGACGGGCCGAACCGCTTAAACTATGCGAAACTATAAACTATACTGTGTCTTACCAGTTTTTAAAGGCATTAATATAAAGCTTGTCACATGTTTAGAACTAATTGTATTATGCACTTTCTCTGCAGCAGCTCAGTTGGTGTCCTCCGCTATATTTTCAGATGCGCTCGTAACAAACTACTGTATATCGATATAAACGGTATTGCCTCATATCGTATCGCTCATAAAGAAAATATCGATATATTGTACAAACTCGATTTACCGCCCAGCCCTACCATTCAGCAAACCTTTAAAATATTTGGATAAATTACTGAAAAACAATAAATAAATGACTTTTTAAACCGTTTAACTGATTGTATTAATTGGTCAAAATTCTTACGGTCAGTTAAAGGTTAACTGGTTAAAATGAGCATCCCTAATTGATATATTTTTTTAATATTTTATAATGTAATTTATTCCTGTAATGACAAAGCTGAATTTTCAACATCATTACTCCAGTCTTCAGTGTCAAATCAGAATTCTGATTTGCTGCTCAAGACACATATCTTCTTATCTTATTGTGCTGCTTACCGTGATAAATTTTTATTCAGAATTCTTTGACGAGTAGAATATAAAATGATAAATCTTTGTTCTCGTTTTTGATCGATTAAATGCATTTTGAATGGGACGTTTTTCTTCAAAAAAATTCTATAAACCAACATTTGAAATCATTTCAGAAAAATGTTGATATTAGAATAAAACCTAATTTTTTTAGGTAGCAACTTTCTTTTGAAAGCACCCATGTACAGTGGGTACGGAAAATATTCAGACCCCCTTAAATTTTTCACTCTTTGTTATATTGCAGCCGTTTGCTAAAATCATTTAAGTTAATTTTTTTTCCTCATTAATGTACACACAGCACCCCATATTGACAGAAAAACACAGAGAAAGTCAACCATCACTGCAGCCCTCCACCAGTCGGGGCTTTATGGCAGAGTGGCCCGACGGAAGCCTCTCCTCAGTGGAAGACACATGAAAGCCCGCATGGAGTTTGCTAAAAAAACACCTGAAGGACTCCAAGATGGTGAGAAATAAGATTCTCTGGTCTGATGAGACCAAGATAGAACTTTTTGGCCTTAATTCTAAGCGGTATGTGTGGAGAAAACCAGGCACCTGTCCAATACAGTCCCAACAGTGAAGCAT